AGTCTGTTTCTTGGTTTGTCTCTCCCTCTCTTTTTTCCCCCTTGCTCATTTGTTTTGTTTCTTAAATTCTACATGAGTGAAATCATATGATATTTGTCTTTCTCTGACTGACTTATTTCACTTACTTAGCATAATACTCTCTAGTTCCATCCACATTGCTGCAAATGGCAAGATTTCACTCTTTTTTATGGCTAATATTCCATGGTATATGTATGCCATATCTTCTTTATCCATTCATTAGTCGATGGACACCGGCTCTGTTTCCATAATTTGGCTATTGTTGATATTGCTACTATAAAAATGCATGTATCCCTTTGAATCAGTATTTTCTATTTCTTTGGGTAAATACCTAGTAGTGCAATTACTGGATCATAGCCATGAGCAACTTAAAAGCTTTTAAATTTCTGAATATATGGAGTTTTCTAAAAGTTTATCGTTACTGTTAATTTCTAACTGCATTGTGTTCAGAGAACACAATCTATGTGATATCAATATCACAACCTTTGATATTGGTTAGGATTTGCTCTGTAGTCCTGTATGTAATCTTTGTAAACATTTCTATGTACTTAAAAATATTGTGTATTTTCTAATTATTGGATGCAGGATTCTAGAATTGTTCATCAGATCAAAGATGTTAATTGGGTTGTTCAAATCTTCCATATCTTTATTAATTTTTTCCTGCTTGATCAACTTTTGAGAGAGATGAGTTAAAATCTCCAGTAGTAATTGTGAATTTGTCATTTTTCCTTGTATCAGCTTTTGCTTTATTATTTGGTGCTTTGTTACAGGTTTAGACTTGTTTATCTTTTTTGCAGGTTAGATCCTATAGTTAATCCAATTCCTAGCTCCTTCTAGTTCCTTGGCTCCAAATTTTTGAGAGTCCTTGAATGAGGCTATGGTCCTGAGGAATCTTAGGGTGATAAATGAGAGTGATTTCCCTACCTAAGTATAATGTACCATACTTTATTTGTAGTCATTTTATATTGCATAACCATTTTTAATTATGTACTTGGCCTTAATTACCCTAATGTAAAGAAGCATCAGAAGAGGTCAGTTGAGCTTCCAGAAGGTTTGATGTGGCCTTGACCCAGCCAGATTTAACCTATAGCAATCTAATTTAAAACTGTCTTTCACCTTTATATAAAATTGTAAGTTTTGACCTTCACAGGCCTGCTTTTTTTCACTCTTTCTCTCTCCATGCCAGTTAGTAGGATTCTAGAGCTTACTCTTGGGAATGCAGGTCCTCCTAATGAACAATTGTTCGTAAAAGAACCTCAGAAAGATCAGAATATTTTCCCTCTTTCCTTATAGCTACTTGCTTTGTATCACAAAGCTAACTTTGATAAAGGGATAAATCAAGAACATTTAAAAACTATTATTTTTATCTCTTGTTAAAAATTTAGACGTATGAAAATGTCATTCTATTTTCTCTTAGAACTCTCTTTACAAATATTATTTGTAAAAACAAACAAATGACAAAACATGGACTTGAGACAACGTTGCTGCTATATCCTACGAGATAAACCTGTAGCCTCTGCAATGTCAGTCTGCCTTTCTAATCATTGCCTTGCTTAATAAATGGGTACCTACAAATACTTTTTAAATTAACATCTCTGTTTTGCCAAAAATTTTTACATTTATCTTTGTAAATTTTTTTTGTTGTTAGTCAAAAAAGAAGGTTTGGGTTTACCTCTTCTCCCCTCAATTCATATAATCTCTTAACTCCCCTTGGATTCCCTATTCAAAGAGTTTGAGAGATTTTATTTTATTTAAAATAACACCCACTATAGGGGCGCCTGGCTAGCTCAGTTGGTGGACCATGCAACACTTGATCTCAGGGTTGTAAGTTCAAGCCCCTTGTTGGGTGTAGAGATTACCTAAAAATAAAATCTTTAAATAAAATAAAATACACCCACTGTAACTTTTTTCCATCCTCCTACTTTCAACCCTTTTTTGTCCTTATGCTTTAATTGTGACTTAATCCAATCTGATATTTAGTTTTTTAACAGGCAAGTATAATACATTCATATTTATTGTGCTTACTGACATATTTAAATTGTTTTTGACATCTTATTTTGTGCATTCTATTTACTTTGCTTCCTTTTTCTCCTTTCCTGCCTTCTTTTGAATTGATAGCTTTCTTGTCACGCTCTACTGGTTTGAAAATAATACATTCTATTTCTAATTTATTTTACTAGAAAAAAATTATTGGCATGTATATGTGTGTGTGTGTGTGTGTGTGTGTGTGTATCTATCATCTATCTATATAATTTCTACTTTCATCCTCTAAATCAAATATAACCTGTCTTTTATATTTTCAATTCTTTAAGCTAGATTCTAGGTAATTTTTTCAGAGCTGTCTTCCAATTCATAATTCTCTTTAGCTTGTCTGATCTGTTATTTAAATAATTTATGGAATTTTAGATTTCAATAACAATATTTTTCTTTTCAAGAAGTTCTTTTATTCTTTTTCAGCTCTTTCCAGTCTGTCTTGATATTTTCCTATTCTTTCTCATATTTTTTTCTTTCATATATTTAATGATTTAAACATACTTTATAATCTGTTAGTTCTAGTATTTGAACTGTGTTAAGAGTTCTGCAGTTGTTTTCTCACTCATTAATGGTAGCTTCATATTTTTCATAATTTGAATTATGAACTCATCTTCAGAGGACTTTATCTGTGGGAATATTGTAAGTCTGAGTTGAAATGTACCCTCCAGAAAAATTCTGTCTTTGTTTCTGTTGGGAAAGTGTACCAGCCTAGGATGATATTGAAATATAATGTTTTCGCTGATAATTCTAGTGCTATGGAGGTAGCATAAATTCAAGTCTCTAAACCCTTTTCAAGGCAGGCTGTGGGTTGCTAATTATTAAGAGAAATCTTTTTCTCCTATCTAGAGTCCAAACCCAAACAGACAAATCTCCATATCTTGTCTTTCATTCTATACTTTCTCCCTAGACAATATCTTCTGAACAAAAGCCTCATTTGTCTCTGTCAGTGACACCAAGACTTTATATATCTTCATCACAGATTCTCTCCTTTGAATTCCAAACCCTTGTATCTATCTACCTATTTGAATATTTGAGGTACCACCTCAAACTCAACTAGTTTAAGATCAATAAAGTTTATGACTTCCCCCTCAAAACCAGTTCTCTTCTAGTGTTTTCTCTCTCAGTGAATGGCATGACTATCCAGATAGCTGTTCAAGCCAGGAATTCAGGAGCCAACCTTGACATCCCTCTTTTTCTCACCCCCCCAACACATCACCAACCCCTGTCACTTTTCCTCTTAAATATCTCTTAAATCTACCCATTCTCCCCATTTCCACTGCCTTCAGACTATTTCAGGCTACCATGATCTTTAGCCTGGACCACTGTAATTTCCTTACATTGAATGAATTTATCCAAATACAGATTGGATTTTTTCTCTTTTCTGTTTGAAACACTCATTTACTAGCTTCACATTCATAGCTCTTAAGTATTTAATATGGTCTCCGTGGCTCTGCGTGGCCAGCCACTGCTTACTCTCGGACCCGTTCTCATTTCATTGTCTTCTTCTGTGTGCCAGCCATATTAGCCTTCACTGTATTACTTAAAACCACAATTCTCTATCTTCCCACACAGCTTTGGTACATGCTATTTCCTTTTTCTGGAATGCTAATCCCTCTATCCCCAACTTTACCTGGTCAATATGTAACTCATTCTTCATTTCTCTGTTCAAACATTATTTGTTCAGTTCTCATCCCTTTCTCTCAATGTCTTTATTTATAACCATATATTCATTGCTGTGGTTATATGCTTGATGTCCGTTTTCCCCACTTGGCTAGTGAGATCAGGGACCTTTGTCTAGTTTTGCTTATTACTATATCTTGAGTGCTGGCATAGACCAGAACATAAAAAGTGCTTAATATTTCTTGAGTGAATAATTATCATGAAAAATATGATTACAAATATACATCTATTCACTATAACACAAAGGTAAAGAAGTGGATAGAGTTGTGGATAAAGTAAGTGACAACTACATGGGGGATCCATTATACTATTCTCTCTACTCTTCCATGTTTAAAGTTTCCTTAAGAAAAGATTAGGCAACTTACAAAATCAGAACACGTTATTTGAAATAGTCTTTGGATAAACAGTGAACATAATCTTAAAAATAAAATATTGGCTATTGTTGAGAATGCTGCTATAAACATTAGGGTGCATGTATGTCTTTGAATTCGTACTTTTGTATCCTTTGGGGTAAATACCTATTGGTGCAATTGCTGGATCATAGGGTAGTTCTATTTCTAGCTTTCTGAGGAATCTCCATACTGTTTTCCAAAGTGGCTGCACCAGTTTGCATTCCCACCAACAGTATAAGAGGGTTCCCCTTTCTCTGCATCCTTACCAACACCTGTTGTTTCCTGTTGTCAATTTCCAAATTATGGAAAGAGCCCAAATGTCCATTGGCTCATGAATGGATAAAGAATATATGGTATACATATACATATATGTGTACACACACACACACACACACACACACACACACACACACACACACTGGAATATTACTCAGCCATAAAAAATAATGAAATCTTTCCATTTGCAATTACAGGGATGGAGCTAGAGAGTATTATGCTAAGTGAAATAAGTCAGAGAAAGACAAAAACCATATGATTTCACTCATATGTGGAATTTAAGAAACAAAACAAATGAATGTGGGGGGGTGGAAAGAAAGGTAAACCAAGAAACAGACTCTTAAGTATAGAGAACAAACTGAGGATTACTGGAGGGGAGGTGGTGAGGGAATGGCTTAAACAGGTGATGGGTATTAAGGAGAGCACTTGTGATGAGCACCGGGTGTTGCATGTAAGTGATGAATCACTAAATTCTACACCTGAAACTAATATTGCACTGCATGTTAATTAGCTGGAATTTAAATAAAACTTGGAAAAAACTAAAATATTGGCTCTTCAGGGAATGAATATTTTATTTAACTAAAAAGAAATTATACTGACCTGAAAATATTTCGGTAATGGTTAATTGGGCCACTTAATGCTCCAGGCTGGGAGAAGACATAAATATAAGCTTCAAGATCTTCTGTTGTTAATCGACATCCTTTTCTTCCAATGCCAGTGCTGTGACTGGTAAACAGATGTTTCAAAGCCTAATTTAAGTGAAAAGACAATAATTAAAACTTTTTAGTTACCTAACCATAAACTAAACCTTTGGCTTCTGAAAGGGAATAATGGTCAGTGTCAGTAACAACTCCCCCTTTCTGCTCTAGCCAGGTAGAAGACCTCATTGTTTACAAACACATTAGACACATTTTTGCTTTCCTGGATTGATGTTTGATATTCTTCCCTTCAAATCCCCCATGTACACTTCACCCTTAGGAAAAGCCACCAGTCTTTTTTGGTGCCTATTCACATTCTACAAGCCTAAGCTCAGATACTATCACCACCCTAAAGTCTTCCCTCATATTCTAACAGTAGTTGATCTGTTTACTAACAACCAATCTACTCTCCTCCCCCCACAATTGTTTGAATTTTTTTGACCACAAACCAGAGTAACAAACACATTTTTTAGCATGATCCAGTTCATACTCCTACACATACGTTTCTGAAACAAATGTTTAAAGAAATATCCCTTACTCTTATTATAGTATGTAGTGATATTTTCAATTCACTTCTGTTCTACTTTATTTTTTAAAATTCAAATTGCAAGCCACGAAACTGATCTCATGACTCACTAAGGGGCCCCCTCCCACAATTTGAAAAACACTGCTCTATACCAGCATTTCTCAAAGTGTAGATCTAAATCACCTGCATTAGAATGATTGGGATTCTTGTTTAAAAGGCAAATCCCTCGGGGCACCTGGGTGGTTCAGTTGGTAAAGTGTCAGTCTCTTGATTTCAGCTCAGGTCATGATCTCAGGGTCCTGGGATGAGCCCCATGTCTGGCTCCATGCTCAGTGGGGAGTCTGCTTAAGGATTTTTCTCCCTCTCCCTCTGCTCCTCCCCCTGCTCACCCTCTCTCTCTCTCTCTCCAAAATAAATAAATCGATCTTTAAAAAATGAAATAAAATGCAGATCCCTCAACCCCAAAACACACCTACAAAACTATGAAATGATTTATACAGGAGGTGATTAATTGAAACATTATTTGTAATAGCAAAAGACTGAAAACAAAAAATGTCCCTCATTTGGGGGTTGGTTGAATAAACTATGGTATAGACACATGATGGTATATTATGTTTTCTGAATACTCCAAGAGAAGATGGAAATGAGGGGCGCCTGGGTGGCTCAGTCATTAAGCACCTGCCTTTGGCTCAGGTCATGATCCCAGGGTCCTGGGATCAAGCCCAGCATCTGGGCTCCCTGCTCCGTGGGAAGCCTGCTTCTCCCTCTCCCACTCCCCCTGCTTGTGTTCCCTCTCTCACTGTGTCTCTCTCTGTCAGATAAATAAATAAAATCTTTAAAAAAAAAAAAAAAAGAAGATGGAGATGATTACATGCTATGGAGTAGCTGATCCCCAGGACATATTTTTAAGTGGGGGGAAAAAAAGGGTGGAAAATAGTGTTTATAGTATGTTATCTTTTGTGTAAGGAGGAGTAGACAAATACATTCACATATGCTTATATTTTTAAAAAAGAAACAATAAAAAAATGAAACAAAAACTAACCAAAATGGTTTCCCTATGGGGAGGGAGGAAATAGGATAGAGACAGAAAAACAGGAAACAGAGACCTAAGTGAGACCTCTCTGTACCTTGTATTAGCATTTTGACTAGAACCACATAAATGTTTTTTATAAAATATAAAAGTTAAACAAAACTTTGTAGTCTTAATTTTGCTTTGGAAATATGAATAAGAACGCATGATTTTTTTTCACTCTAAAAATATGTAAGTACAATATCTATCCAATGGAAAGGTCTAGAAGCAATAAAAACCCAGTAACAATGATCACCTTGACACCCAGACTGTGGTTTCTAAGTACAGTTTCCTACTAATAGGAGCCCGAGTTCCTTCAATAAATGACTGATTCCAGATCTGCAGCAGGAAATAAAAAATGAACCTAGGACATTAAGGAAGCAAGCTATTACTGACCGAAGATTTATGTCAAAAGGACACAGGAGCCAACCTGAAGGAGTTTCCACTTGCCTAATACGAGACAATCTGAGCATAAAAAAGAACGACTGTAATTGATTGATACATGTCAAATATATTTTTAAAACTCATGAGCTCATAATAATATGGAAAAAAAGAAAACTTCATTGGTTGTCATTGGAGATTTCTAGGGCACCAAGTCATTACCTTGGAAGTTGTTTATAAAGGTAAAGAATGAAGCATTTATCCTGCCATTCTTGTGTGAACTGTATTTCAGAATAACCAAACAGTAGAAATGGACAATTCTAGTTAATAAAAGGAAGAATTCCAGTTAATAAAAGCAGAAAAAAATGATAGAATTAGAAAATCACAATTTTGTGAATCCTAATGAAATAATGGACCTATGCAGTGATGATCAAGGTATGCTAAAATTATCTGGTGAAAGGTTGTTAGGAAATTTAGATAGGCTGACTATCTAAATTTAAGTGAGCCCACTGGTCAGTGTTACTGTTAGTAAAACTGCGAGAACTAGACCCTAGGTGCTTCCCTGATGTGATGCATTAGGAAATACACAGCACCACCTGCCAGTATTCTTGTCAAATTAAAAATCAACCTAACCAAGCCTCTAGATTAGTAGCAACCATGAAGTAGGAGAAACAAGGGTTAGCAGAACAAGTTAAATAACACCATGATGAAGTAGTTAGCCAAATCCAAAATGTGGATCATTCCTCAGAACAAAAACAAATATGAAATTTCTTCAATAAAAAAATGGTGTTAAAAAAAAAGAAGGAACTGTTATAGCCTGCAAAAACCATAACAATCAAATACAATGTATGGACCTTGTTTGGTTCCTGATTCAAACAAATAAAGTGTTAAGGAAATTTGAATGGAAATCCAATGGAATGGAAATCTGAATATTAAATGATAGTAGGGAGTAAGTATTCATTTTGTTAGGTTTGATAATGGTATTGGAGTTATTTGTTAAAAAAATGTCCTTATCTGTCAGAGATATATACAGAAGTATTTCCAAGTAAAATAATATTGTCTTTTCTAAAGCCTCCCTAAATATCTAACACCACACCAGATATACAAGAAGCATTCGATAAACTTTCAAGAAATAGATACAACACATGACTCCTGGTTGTCCGTGTATATGGTACACCAATTCCCACACACTTACTTTGTTTCAGGGTTTTGTTTACACCCAAAGGCCTCCACTTCTGTTATGTCAAACTCTCTCACCTGGCATTCATATTCCCTTGTCTCCCCATGGAATGTTCTCTGAAAAGAGGTACGCCTATAGGGGCACAGGCTCTCACAAAAAAATTGAACAATAACCAGGCACTCAAATATACAGAGACTGTAAAAATAAGTTAGCCTATAGATGAGGTCTTAGAAATTATTAAATTTTAGCATTTGCCTATTTTTCTTTCTGAAGGGTGCACTTTAATGTTTTTCATTAATACATTATTTGCTTGATTTAACCTTTTTTTTCTTACATAGGAGGAAATGCCTAGCAGTGGGCATCATATCACAATAATCAATAAATGATTATTTTAGACAAATCAGATAACATAAGCAGGACCAGTTCTTTCTTTTTTTCTTTTCTTTCTTTCTTTCCTCCTTTTTTTAGTGCATCTGTCTATCTTTTATTTTTTTTAAGATTTTATTTATTTGATAGAGAGAGACACAGCAAGAGAGGGAACACAAGCAGGGGGAGTGGGAGAGGGAGAAGCAGGCTTCCCGCGGAACAGGGAGCCCGATGCGGGACTCGATCCCAGGACCCTGGGATCATGACCCGAGCCAAAGGCAGATGCTTAACAACTGAGCCACCCAGGTGCCCCTATCTTTTATTTTTAACTTCCTAATTTTGTCATCTTCTTGGGCTCCAGTTTTTCAATTTTAATCTTGGGGTATAATTGACATATAACATATTAGTTTCAGGTATACAACATAATAATACAATATTTGCATACATTGTAAAATGATCACCACAATAAATCTAGTTAACATCCATCACATATTTGACTTACCTTGAAATCATTTATTGAGAACATAAATTCTGGGAACCATGGTATTTGGAAGAAGTAATAATGGCTGGATTTGAACAGCTGGGCAGGGTGTCGTAAAATATATTCTGAAATTAAAATGCCACGTTAGACCTTATCCAAGGGGTATAAATTACTTACTATTGAAAGAACTTCATTCTAAGGCAATTTCACCCTTGAGATGAAAAAAGAATCCACAAGTAAGTCTTCTGCATATTTCTCTTTGAAACAATTTCTATGTTCTTGTATTTGATTATGGATATTTCAAGTATTTAGAAAATTTATAGCACTTTAAATAAAAAAGTTTCATTTTATGAAGTCTTGACTCAGAAAGGAACAGGAAACACAAACAACACTGCCTTTTCTCCAAGGTTATTTTCAGTGACCTCACACTTTTCCTAGGGATTTATGGGGAGGTAATTTTCTGTTGTTTAAAAGACTTTCTTTGCAGGCAGATTTGAATACCTTATTCATTTGACCTCAACAGAAACTAAAGTGTTTCCTATAAGTTCATTCATATATCTAGAAAATTCATTCATTCAAGGAATATTTGAATATCTACTGTATGTAAGGGGAGTTAGCAGTCAACAAGACAGAAGAGGTTCCCATTAATAAGGAACTTATACAATAAGTAATCGATACTTTAAAAGATCATTTTAGATAGCAACAATACCATAAAGAAAATTAAAACAGGGTAATCTGATTGAGAGTGATGATTGGGTGATGTGGAGGGACTATTATTTAGCAGAGGTGATCAAAATAGGCTTCTCTGGGGATGTGACATGTGGACTGATTCCTGAATGGTAAGAGGGAGTCGGCTATGCAAAGATCTAGGAAGAAAAGCCAGGAACAGAAAGTAGGTCCTGGGCTTGGCACATTTAAGAAGCAGAAAGAACATCAATGTGACCGGTGTATAGTGAATGAGGTGTGAGAGGTGGCATGAGATGAGTCAGAGAGCAAAGCAGAAGCCCAGTCAGGGAGGGCCAGAGGAGATGGATTTTTAAGGGCTTTGGAAAGACACTGAAGCTTTAAACTAGAGAGTAGTATAATCACACATATTAAGTGTGCATACTTGTTTCTTGTGCACTCTATTTTTATTTTCTTTGCTATAGAAGTCACTTTTTTTCTTATTTCTAATTTTGTAACTAACATGGTTAGTGTTAACATGGTTGGAATTTTTGGAACTATAATTCTCAGGTAAGTTATGCTATACTTTTTGTAAAGTCGTCATTGAACAAAATTTATTCAGCCCTACATTAAGAGATATTAATATAATTAAGGGTTAAATATAGGCATATTACTTGAAGACCTTATATTAACCTGACTAGGGTTGAACCTAGGCTGGATAAAACAATTCTAGAAATATTTCAAGAATCTTCTTGCTGAAATGACCAATTACAATTTTTTCCTTTTAGCAACATCACAAAAATAACATTTACTCAAGGGTCCCAATCAATGGAACAAGCACGTAGCACAACTTTTCCTACTTAATGCAACTGAGAAAAATATAGTGAATTTCAGTTTGATATTTGAATCCTAAGCATCCATGCTATCGCCTCAATAGAAATAGGACAATTGTATATATATCTAAAATTCAACTCTTGGGGCACCTGGGTGGCTCAGTTGGTTAAGCATCTGCCTTTGGCACAGGTCATGTGGCCAAGGCGCTGGGATCGAGTCCGCATCACATTGGGCTCCCTGCTCAGCGGGGATCCTGTTTCTCCTCCCTCTGCCACTCTCCCTGCTTGTGCTCTCTTGCTCTCTCTCAAATAAATAAATAAATAAATAAATAAATAAATAAAATCTTTTAAAAAATAAAAAATAAAATAAAATTCAACTCTTACACTTACACTGTACAATATTTATGTAGTCACATTCCCTTTCTCCCTTATGTAGACATTCCCAACAGAATTTTTTGTTCCCTAGAGGGCTGCTGTGAGTCATAGCAGTACCTGAAACTCAGAAAACTTGACAAGGGTAGTTAAAGAGGACAAGATGATAGTTTTTGCCAAAATGGAATAAAAATGTGCCTAGTCATGGTTCACTGGTCTTTAAACACTGAGGATTTTAAGAGTTCCCTTTATTATAGCAGGGGTTCTCAAAGTATAGCCCACATGGACCCTGGGGATCCCTAAGACCTTTTTAAACAATCCAGACAGTCAAAACCAACTCATTACAATACTAAGACATTATTAGCTTTTCTCATTTGTGGACCTTTGTGCTCATGGTATGAAAGCAAGGGTAGATAAAGCCATTGCTGCCTGAGCACAAATCAAGGTAGTGACGCTAAACAATACTAGCAGTCATTGTATGCTTCGCCACCACACACTTGCAGCAAACAAATACATAAATACATAAAATTAAGTGCCAGTTTCACTTAGGAATGCCCTAGATAAAACAGCAAAAATTATTAATTTTATTAAATTTCAACCTTTGTGTACATGTCCTTTGAACATTGAGATGACACAGAAAGTACACACAAAGCAATTCTGTTGAACACCCAAGTACAATGGTTGTCTGAAGGAACAGCACTTCTGCAATTCTTTGAGTTGATTAGTTGAATTAGCTGCATTTCTTATGGAATACCATTTTTTACTTGAAAGGATGACTAATAAATTATCACCAGTCAGACTTGAGTATTTGACAGATAGTCTCTTGAAAATGAACAAAGTGAGCCTGTCACTTGGGGGAAAACAATCAACAGCATTTGTTGCCAACAACAAAATTCAAGCTTTCAAATGAAAATTAGAAATTTGGAGATGGGTATTTGCTACTGTGAGCATGACAGCTTTGCAATACTCAACAACTTTTTGATGACATTGGGGCAATATTAGTTAATGTGATTCTTTGATATAATATAATAAAATGTGTCAAAGTATGGAAGATCTGAATAACTCAATGGACCAATATCTTCCAATGCATGATGATGCAAAATCATGCATGGGTAAAAAATCCATTCAAAGTGCTAGAGAGACTAATGGATTTTAATGTAACAGAGTACAAAAAGTTCATTAATATGACATCAGATTCTACATTGTTACTAACCTTTAAGAAACCACCAATTTTTTTAGTTTGGTGTAGTATTAAAGAAGAAAATCCACAGTTATCTGAAAAGGCTATTAAAATACTCTTCCCTTTTCCAATTACAAGTCTGTGTGAGGCCAGATTTCTTCATACACTTCAATTCAAACAACATATTGTAACAGATTGAATGCAGAAGCAGATCTGAGAATCCAGCTGTCTTCTATTAAGCCAAAAATTAAAGAGGTTTGCAAAAATGTAAAACAATGACATTCTTCTCACTAAAATTGTTTGGGAAGATGTAGCTAGTTTTCATTAAGATGTTAATCATGTTAACAGGAACTAGATTTATTATTTTTTAATGAATTAATATATAATTTAAAATTTTTCTCATTTTAAATTTCTAATACAGTAAATATTTTTATATATGTCCTATATTATCAAAAGCTCAATGGGTCTTTAATATTTTTTAAGAGTATAAAAGAGTCCTGAAACTCAAAATTTGAGAACTGTGGCTTTAAAGAATGCTGTCATTCCTGATAGCCGAAGCAGTCAGGCAAGAGGAGAATTTATTTCTAGGTTGTCAAGATTCATTACTGTCAAAGTAATGTTACTGCATCTTTTTCCCTTTATCCCTTTCCAAGTTAGCAGTAAAATATTCTCTAAAAAAAATAAGATTATGCAAGCAAATATGAAGCTATGATTTCTCAGACTCTTGTGGAATAAAGTCAACGTATCTGACATTGTTATATGCTAATATCATATTTTAGTCATTTAATTAAAAAAATACTATGCTATTCAAATTTTGCTGTTTTTAATCCAAAGTGTCAGTGACAATAGTGAATTGTTATTTTAGCAAAGATGTTTTAATTAAAATTCAAACTCACCTGTAAATACAGTTGGGTGAGGGAAGTTAATAACGATAAGCTTCATCACCATTTCGGGATAACAGATGGCAATTAGCCAAGCAATCATTCCCCCCCAGTCATGGCCAATAAGAACACATTTGCTATATCCTGTAATGGAAAAAAAAAAATGTTGATGTCATTGAAGGTGGATGCATCATTACCTTACATAAAATGGGTATACTTCTGAAACTAATCTTCCCATAATCTGACTCTAATTATGCACTTAGGCAGATACTGAGTTTGGTGTTTCCAAAACCTGTATGTCCGAATCACCGAAGTAGCTTTTTAGAAAATTTAGATGTCCAACCTCCATTCTAGACCTACAGATTCAGAATCTCTCCCAGGAACCTGAATTTTTTTAAAAACCTGAAATAGCTCAGCTCTAGTTGCACAAACCTGAGTTTGGAAAACCGTGGTAAAGATTACACATAATTAGGTCATAAGCAAGATTATATTATTGATTTGCCTAGAAAATTGAATGAAGACAAATTTAGGCCAAGGCTGACTGAATTACCACCGAAGAGAAATGAAATATGGCTACCGGAAATCAATGTCTTTGAGTCTATTTTATTGTAATCAGACTAAATGACAACACTGCATTGATACCCCCAGACCTCATCCATTTTTTTTTCTCCTCTTGGAATATTGGCCAGATCCATGCTCTCTTTAGATTATTGTAGAAAAGGCCTTTAATTTGATTTCATGGTTTTTTTACAATATTAGCTCCATTAACATACCATGGTAGCAGCTGGGTTTTAGTCAAAAAAGATGTAGTGGATTCAATTATTGTTAAAAAGTATTTACTCCTCCCCCCTCCCCACTGCCATAAAAGGAGTATACATTGCTACCCCTTTGATATTAGACTTAGTCGTGTGATTTGCTTTGGTCATATGGTGGGAGTCTGACTTGACTTTGGACTCAGCCATCTGACTTGCTTTGACCAATGTGCTGCAAGCAGAAACTTGAAATATGTTTCTGCATCTGGGCTCACCCTCTTGCCATTTCTGCCATTGTCAGGAGAAGAGGAAAAGCTACCGCTAGGTAGCTACTCCCCTTTAGCTTGGGTTCCAGCCTAACTCAGAGGGAGAAGCCAGTCCCAGCAGGACCTGTAACCTGAGGTAAAGACCCAGTGGTCCAGCCTACACTTGACCTGCACACCCATGAGCATTGAATAAATGCCTATGGCTATATGCCACTGAGTTTGGCATGTTTGTTACACAATAATATTGTGGCACTAGCTGATCAATATAAGAAAGATAGTGCGGGGTGCCTGGATGGCCTAGTTGGTTAAGCATCTGCCTTTGGCTCAGGTCATGATCTCAGGGTTCTGGATGGAGTCCCACATCGGGCTCCCTGCTCAGTGGGGAGCCTGTTTCTCCCTCTGTTCCTCCTCTTGCTTGTGCTCTCTCTCTCTCAAATAAATAAATAAAAATCTTAAAAAAAAAAAAAGAAGATAGTGTAAGTGCTTCTGCATCTAAATGATTATTTAGATGTGGATTCTGAAGAAATAAATTTTCTGAGTACAAGAATCAAATTTCCAATAATTCTGAAAATAATAAATTGCATACATTAGAAATACTTTTAAAAACACATTTTCGAAATCAGAGGGGGAGACGAACCATGAGAGACGATGGACTCTGAGAAACAAACTGAGGGTTCTAGAGGGGAGGGGGCTGGGGGGCGGGTTAGCCTGGTGATGGGTATTAAAGAGGGCACGTTCTGCGTGGAGCACTGGGTGTTATACGAAAACAATGAATCGTGTATCACTACATCAAAAACTAATGATGTAATGTATGGTGATTAACATAACATAATAAAATAAAAACAACAACAACAACAAATGTTCAAACTCATTCTTGGCTGGTGGACTGAATCGTCATTCCAGATGTATTATTTTCAATTTCCTCTATAAATATTTTCGACTGTACACCCAAAACCATGGGGACAGGATCCAGACAACAGCTCAGGTAAATGGAAAATGCCTTCTCCCAAGAAATGAGGTTACCAATTCACAATTTTTGGAATGTTAGTCCCTTAAAAAGGACTATACTATTTTTTTTAAACTGACCTACCTAAAGAGTCTAAAATATCCTTTATATCTGTAATTAGACAGTCCAATTTATAATTCTCTCGATGAATGGGAGCATCTGTTTCTCCATAGCCTCTCAGATCAAGTGCTACAACTCGATATTCACTTTTAAATTCCCTTAGTTGGTGACGCCAAGAATACCTGCAGGAAATAAGAAACATTAAAAATACCACAGTAGTGAATCCAGAGAGTAACATTACATCTTTTCTAAGTGGACAATTATAAGAAACTGTCTATTTTGAGAAAGGTTATATAGCCATCTGTGAGCCAGAGGAAGGGATGTGTTTCGGAAGGGAACACTGAAGTTCTTTATAAAAATTTATTGTTATTTTTTTTTTACCAGCTCCAGTGGGGTGTAACAGAGGGCCAGTATTTACAGAAACTATGAAATATCTGATACTAAAACCAATATACTTCTATATGTACTTAAGAAATCAATTTTCTAGGCTTTCTTAAATAATGCTTATAGCTATCAGGGAATCTGTACTTACAAATGCTTCTATGGAGAAGATCCTGAATGAGTACAAGCAAGTGTGATATTAAAAACATTTAAGGGGCACCTGGGGGGCACAATCATTTAAGCATCCAACTCGTGGTTTCAGTTCAGGTCATGATCTCAGAGTCGTGTGATCTTGCCCTGCATTGGGCTTGCATTCAGTGCAGAGTCTGCTTGAGATTCTCTCTCTCTCTCCTTCTCCCTATGCCCCTCCGGCTTGTGCTCAATCTCTCTCAAATAAATAAATCTTAAAAACAAAAACAAAAACAAAAAAAACCCCCACACTCTTAACAGCCAAAATGGCATTGTCATGACCAATTAGAATGGCCAGCGTTGGGGTGCCTGGGTGGCTGGTGGGTTAGGTTTCTGACTTCGGCTCATGTCATGATCTCAGGGTCCTGGGATCAAGCCTGGCGTCGGGCTCCCCACTCAGCGGGGAATCCACTTCTCCCTCTCCCTCTGCCCACCCCCCACTCCTGCTTGTGCTCTCTCTTTCTCTCAAATAAATAAAATCTTAAAAAAAAAGGAATGGCCAATATGCTACAGCCAAGTCCTGGAGGCGTCTGCAGGGCCAGGTGTTCCCCTGTGCTTGATCATGGAACTGCAGAATTAAACGAAATACCAAGATCCATGAGATTTTTTTCTTTTTTTTTTTCTTTTTTAATCTCTGCACCCAACGTAGGGCTCAAATTTACAACCCCGAGATCAAGAGTCTCATGCTCTACTGACTGAGCCAGTTAGGCACCCTGATCCATGAGATTTTCTTCTTCAAACAAGCAAAACCATTTTGGATAACAAAGAAAAAGAAAAAAGACGTGGATTTTTCAAAGTGACTCACTATGTTGTGGGACTCCAAATATGCATTTAAAAAATGGATCTGTATGCACATCTGTTCATGGAAACAGTGTAGAATTATCTGACACAAGCCAATAGGAGATAACTGTCTGAAAAGATTTTTGGAGTGCAATAGGCAAGTGTACCAAGGGATCTGCTATTATAAGCCAATAGTGAGAGAGACTGCAATGTGAAGTGTCACAAAGCAATAAGACCAATGAAACAAAGTATGCACTTTACATTAACAGGTCATCAGGAAGAGTGTCAGACACATATCTGTATTATGCATGGATTCAGAATCTTTGATCTATTATTAGGATATCTATGATTTGTGAAAATCTGCAAAAGCATTACCAATGAAGACAGATTTAAAAATGTTAATAAAAAGTATGTTTCTTAGTGAGGTCATAGCAATCTTACTAACCTTGGCTTTAGGTTGTAACAAATAAGCAGTTTATTTCCTCAAAGATACCCATTTGTCAACACATAAGATATTATTTTCTCATTAGCCTTACTTAAAATTTTCAATTGATTTTTTTATGTCTTTGTAACTGGAGCCTAACTCTTCCCCCTTTAGGGGTTACCTCAGCCTAATCAATAGAGTTCTGCATATTTAACCTTTTAAATATTTATTTAATCACTTTTCCTGTCCATCCCTAATATGATTACCTTAATTCAGGCCTCCATTAATGCAGCAACCTATCGACTGGTCTGTATGCATTTCATTCCCTTCAGCGCTATCTTCTACAAAACCAGACTGAGGTCCCAGAAACATAAACTCTGTCATGTAATTTCGCTGTTTAACATCTTTTCTTGAATCCCTATTACGTGCATATCTCAGACGTATTGCAGGTGGGGTTCCAGACCACCACAATAAAGCAAATATCACGATAAAGTAAGTATAAAAGTTATGTTTACATTGTAGTCTATTAAGTGTGTAATAGCCTTATGTCTAAAAAAACAATGTATATATCATAATTTAAAAAGTATTGCTTGTATAGAACTGTTGAATCACTATATTGTACACCTAAAACTAATATAACACTATATGTTAACTACACTAGAATTATAATTAAAAACATAATAAAATCCAAAAAAGAAAAAAATACTTTATTGTCAATAAAGTGCTAACCATCATCTGAACTTCCAGTGAATTATAATCTTTTTGCTGGAGGGTCTTGCCTCCATGTTGATGGCTGCTGACTGACCAGGGTGGTGGGGGCTGGAGGCTGGGGGGGCTGTGGCAGTTTCTTAAAATAACACAACAATGAAGTTTGCCACGTCGGTTGACGCTTTCTTTCATGAATGATTTCTCTGTAGCGTGTGATGCTGTTTGCTAGCATCTTACCCACAGCAGAACTTCTTTCACACTTGGAGTCGGTCCTCTCAAGCCCTGTGCTGCTTTATCAACTAAAGTGTATGTCATATTCTAAATCCTCTGTTGTCATTTCAACCATCTTCACAGCATCTTCACCAGCAGTAGATTCCAGCTCAGGACACCACTGTCTTTGCTCATCCAAGAGAAGCAACTCCTCAGCCGTGAAAGTTCGATCATGAGATCACAGGCATCCAGTCACATGTTCAGGCTCCCCTGCTGCTTCTAGTCCTCTCCCTGTTTCCACCACCTCTGCAGTTTCTGCCTCCACTGGAGTCCTGAGCTCTCCAAGTCACCCATGAGGGCTGGAATCAACTTCTTCCAGACTCCTCTTCATGTTGATATTGTCACCTCGTCCCTTGAATCATGGATGTTCTCAATGGCATCTAGAATGGTGAATCTTCTCCAGAAGGTTTTCAATTTACTTTGCCCCCAGATCTATCAGAGACATCACCATGGCAGATATAGCCTTATGAAATGTATTTCTTCAATAATAAGACTTCAGGAGTAGAAATCACTCCTTGATCCATGGACTGCAGGATGGATGCTGTGTTAGCAGGCATGAAAACCAGCTCCATCACAGCTCCTGGGTGACCAGGTGCATTGTCAATGAGTGGTCATATTTTGAAATAAATCTTTTTTTTTTTTTCTGAGCAGTAGGTCTCAACAGTGGGTTTAAAATATTCAGCAAACCATGTTGTAAACAGATGTGCTGTCATCCACGCTTTGTTGTTCCATTTATAGAAAACAGGCAGAATGGATTTACATAATTTTTAGGGCTCTAGAATTTTCAGAATAATCAATGAGCATTAGCTTCAACTTCAAGTCGAAGTTAATACCGGCTGTATTAACCTCTAACAAGATTGTCAGCCTGTCCTTTGAAACTTTGCGGCCAAGCATTAACTTCTACCTAGCTAAGAAAGTCCTAGAAAGCATCTTCTTCCAATAGAAGGCTGTTTCATTTACATTGAAAATTTATTGTTTATTGTAACCACCTTCATGAATGATCTGAGCTAGATCTTTGCATAACTCGCTGCAGCTTCTCCATTAGCACTTGCTGTTTCACCTTGTACTTTTCTGTTATGGAGATGACTTCTTTTCTTAAACCTCACGAACCAACCTCTGTTAGCTTCAGACTTTTCTCCTGTAGCTTCCTCACCTCTCTGAGCCTTCACAGAATTGAAGAGAGTTAGGGCCTGTCTCTGGATTAGGCTTTGGCTTAAGGGAATGTTGTGGCTGGTTTGATCTTCCATCCAGACCACTGACACTTCCTCCATATCAAAAATGAGGTTGTTTCACTTTCTTATCATTTGTGTCTTCATTCGAGTAGCACTTCCAATTTCCTTCAAGAAATTTTTCGTAGCATTCACAAGTTGGCTAACTGGTGGGAGAGGCCTAGCTTTTAGCCTGTCTCAGCTTTTGACATGCCTTCCTCACTAAACTTAATCATTTCTGGCTTTTGATTTAAAGTGAGAGATATGGGACTCCTCATTTCACTTGAATATTTAGAGGCCACTGTAAGATTATTAACTGGCCTAATTTCAATATTGTGTGTCTCAGGGAACAGGGAGAGCCAAGGAGAGGGAGCAAGATGGGGGAAGCGGTTATTGGTGAAGGAGGCAGAACACATACAACATGCATCCTCAATTCACCATCTCATATAGGTGTGGTTTATGGCACCCCAAGACAATTACAGTAGGAACATCAAAGATCACTGATCACAGATCACCATAACAAATGTAATAATAATAATGAAAGAGTTTGAAATATGGCAAAAATTACCAAAAATTACCAAAATACAGAGACACAAAATGAGAAAACCTGTTGGAAAAATGACTCCAACAGCCTTGCTCTACACGGGGTTGCCACAAACCTTCAATTTGTGGGAAAAAAAAAACCCAAAAAATGCAGTATCTGTGAAGCACAATAAAACAAGGTCTACCTATACTCATAACATGCAGCTCAAGCTTGTCATTGTGGCAGACCAAACCTCCAAGATCTGACTAAGGCCCAAACTTCCAGCCTGATTACTTTACACTCTTAGTCATTTGCTATATAATAAAAAAAGCTGGCAGTTATATCCTTCTTAGTACATGCCATGCACAATTCTAAGTGTTTCACATATAGTAATGTTGATCTGCAAAACAAAACTATGAAGTAGGTATTATTATATTATTATCCCCACAGTTGACCTTCAGGGGCACAAAAAAGGTTAATTGCCCTGCCAAAGGTCACAGAATTAGCAAAGAGCAGACCTAGGATTCAAACCCAGGTAGTCTGTCCTGAGTCCATGGTACCCTGCCCACACAGAGGGAAGCCCCCTGCAGTGATCCAATGGCAATATTGCTTTTTGCTTTTGACTTTGTTCTTCTGATGTCCTTTGTCTGCAACATCATCCCTCTCAGCCATTTCCCTACTCTCCATAATTCCTGCCCTTTCCCCTTCACTCAACTCCTCACGCTGAGCATCTCCACTTCCAGGAGACCTCGCAGGCCCCCACCTTTACTGGCGGGTTGGCTGGGACCCTTCTTACTCTCCCATTTGCACATACACTCTTCAGGCGACTGGGCATGTGCTTTATAACAATCTGTTGTGTCTGGTGCTTCCACTGGAATGGGAGCTCCCTCAACTGCCTGGTAGAATATTTAGACTGTGTAGGTGCTCAGTAAAGATATGTTGCATAAGTGAAACAAACGAGTGGAAGGACTGAGTGTTGATAGTGCTAGAAGGACCAGCTGCTCAATAGAACTCGGTCCCAGTTCAAACCGTGAGGCAAGGATGACTGAAGTTCCCAAGTTCCTGTTGGGGAATTTATAGTTAATGTCTGTGAAAAAGTGCATTGTTCTAATATCTTAAGTATGTCTTCATTTAGAACTCATTTAGTGAGAGATTTCAAGGTAGAAATTTGACTCAAAGTAGCGTGTAGAATCCTGCAATATTTTACATTTAAAATTGCATTAGAGATTATGCAAACATAATACCTGCATATTTCATTCTCTTATTGATAATTTAAATTGCCTTGCAAAGAAATTCAACTATTGCTGCCATCCATGAGAGGAGCCAAACAATATCTTCAACATTTCTAAGAAATAGGGCAGCTGCTATCTTAATAAATTGCAAAAAAAAAATCTTAAATGTAACCTTCCCAGAATTCACAAATAAAGCATATTTGATTCACACTTTAAGCTGAAAAAGAAATCACCCCAGGGATAGACTGATGGGCATTTCATTCATATGATAGTAAACAAAATTGAATCCCTTGACACAGAAATGAAACATATTATAAAATCAGTAACTCAGGGGCAACTGGCTGACTCAGTCCATAGAGCGTGCAACGTGCAACGCTTGATCTCAGGGTCATGGGTTCAAACCCCATGTTGGGCATGGAGCCTACTTAAAAAAAAGAAATCAGTAACTCCTAAAAATATTACAAAGAAACAAAGCTTGCTATTTTCATCCACTTTTTTTTTTTTCTGGTACGTTTGGTAATAGCAGAAGACACTTCTAAAAAACCAACCCCCTTCCTAGTGATTACTCTTGACATAAGAGGGCTTCTGGTTTACCAGGATAGCCACATTCAGATGTAGAATATCCTTTTCCCCTTCACAAAAGAGAAAAGGCCATAGTCATCAGCCTCTGTGCTCAGCTGTGTGTACCAAGAGCCCTCCCTTGCCTCAGCACTTGAGTAATGACGAATGCATTCCATACAGCTGGTGATGAAGACAACTCAAAGAAACTGCCTGCATCAGCTCCAAATATTTTTAAAAGCGATGCAAATTGAGGTGGAGAGAGAGTGGGAGAAAAACCATCTCCTGACAAATAACTTTATTTTGGGATAATTTAGCTAACAGTCTCAGAGATGCAGATCTTGTTTGATGTTTCCTTTAGATTTAAGAAAGAAGACCCAGAATTTTTATTGTTTCCATGTAATATCTAATATTAAATGTCACCAATTCTCAACAGCTATTCTTAGGTAATGATGGTAAGTGCAGATAATATATTGCATGTGTATAGTGCTTTTCTGTTTAGAATCATTTTTACACACATTACCAATTGATGATTATTTTGTTTTCACAGTATCAAATATCTTGACCTACTTGATCTACAAATAAGCTTATAGTTCCATATGTACTTAGACAAAACTTGATTAACAGAGGAATAATATTTATACTTATAATGTAAATTTAAATTGGTTTGAAATGTCAGACAAGAGTTTCTTGCTTTGTTGTTTTTGGCTTTTAAAGAAGATAGAAATGCAAGGGAAGGGGCTTTTGGAAAAAGAGAGGAAAGCAAGAGAGAGACTGGAAGTGGCTTAATCAAAACAGCTTTGTCCTAAACTCTGGATTTATTTGACCCTTTCCTGAATGGAGCACCTGAATGGAATTGACTAGATTCCTAATAGTTAATAGCGGCAGTTTGAATGGAAGGAAAGACAAAGGCTCAACACTGAGGTCTTGGTTTAGGGTATGACAGTCAAACAGAGGTTTCTGATTATCAGCAATCTCCATGTAGTTGCTTTTGGACTTACCCTAAACGCCTGGGTAGCTTTCAGATCAAGGGCCAGGAAAGCTTAGTGAATTCAATATGCTGTCTGAGTAACTGAGCTATGAGGGGTTCATTGTTGTTGTTTTTAAGTCATGGCAAGGGTGTTTCTGGAATAACACATCCAAGACTTGACTTTGCCAGAGCAAATGGGACTGATGTCCAAGGACCAGTGCTGGGCCTCTCCCAGGCTCCCAGGCTGTCCCGTCCCCTAGAGATTAGAGGACACATACAAGAACCACCAGGCATTTCTATTTTGCCAAAGGGCTCTTATGAAGAGTAAATAAAGGGACAATGCTGTGAAAAATGTACAAAGGTATCATTCTTAAATATGACAGAAAGCACCAATTGTCCTCTATCAAAAGGGTATCATTGTTATTTGCTGTTTCTTCAAAACAATTACCAGTTGGCTGAAGAGGTTGTAGTTTATGTTTATCTTCCTGGTAGACTGTTCCACATGTAAAGAAGTGAAGTTTCAGGAGAGAAAAGAGCATGGACAAGTACTGGGGTTGATATGAGGTGGTGACAGAATAGCTTTTAAATCTTTTCTTTCTAAAAAGTTAAATATCAACCCCCCCCCACCACGGCAACATATCATGAATTTTATTTAGAATGATGGTCCAGAATGTTAGAGTGAGGTGTTCTTGCACGGTTAGCTAACTTTTAACACCCTCTTGAATGGTTCTATAAGGTGTGAAATTTGAAGGGTGAAAAGCACTGCTTGATATCAGATGATTATCATTCCTATATCCTGAGGACAAGCAGAAGAGGGCAGCTCTGAAGCTCAAAAGTGAGGTGTGCCTTACTTTTTGACCGCGCCAATTTCAGAAGGGCAGCTGTGAGGTTTACATGAGATGTTAGTAAAACACTTAGAGGAGTGCCTGGCACACAGTGGATGGTCCGTAAATGTTAACTAGCACCAGCTGCAGCATTCAGAAAATTAGTTTTTCACCGGTCTGGGACAATCGCCTGTCTCCAAACGTCTCTTTTACTCTCACTCTTCAAACTAGAATTCCACTATTGCATACTCTTCACCTCCTTTAGAGTTTTAAAGATTTTGTATTATCCAAAGTCCTGATTTAAAATGCAGCTAGCTCTCAAAGAGGTATGATCTCAGTGCACTTTAGTTAATACTTCATCAGGGAAAGGGACTTTATTAATAAATGCATGGCGGATGCTAGTGCTGGCGCAGGGCTCTCCACACTGAGTGAATGGGAATGAAGAAAATGAACATTTATTGAGTATTCACTGGGGCTATGTGAAAGGCCTTCTGCATATTTTGACTCTCTTTATCTTCACAATAACTCTGCAAGATTATTGCAGAAGATTGTGCAGGATCCTGCAGAGTAAGTGATTAAGCCAGAATTCACCGCCTATGTTACTTTATGCAGATTTGACTAAAGCTTCAGACTTAGATTTTATTGTGAGCCAATCATGTCAAGCACTCCACTAAACGAGTCTACATACATATGCTTGAATTGTACTGGGCTGTTTACCACCTAATTAAGTTGTCTCCAGATGGAAGAACAGATAAAAGTTTAACATGAAAACGACTTATGTTTATTCATGTAGGCGAATACAGGGGGAGAAAAATCTTCATGAGGGGAAAAATCTCAGAAAAAGACATCTATAGACTTTTTGCTCTGGAAAAATGATGAGGTACATGGGGTTTTGCCACACTACATTCTTTTCCTCAATACCTAATACTTCCTCATGCACTAGCATTCTCAATGTATTTATTAATGAAGTCTCTTTCACTGATAACGTATTAACTAAAGTGTATTAGGGTCAGATCTCTTTGAGAGCTAGATGCATTTTAAGTCAGGACTCTGGATAACACAAAATCTTTAAAACTGTGAAGGAGGTGCAGAATATGTAATGGTGAAATTCTAGGTGTTAAGAGTGATAATAAGGGAGAAATTTGGGGACAGGGCATCATCCCAGACCTTTCAAAAGATACAACATATTCTGCCTTTCAGTCAGCTCAGAGGATATGATTATTTTTCATCCATTTCTTTGCATTTAGTTCATGGACTGTCTCAAGATCACAGCCCTGTGTTATCAAAAGCCCGGTTATCTTTCACCACCATATGTAGCATCTTTTAAAAAGAAATTCATTTTTTAAAAGTTTAATCATATGTTGTTTTCATCTGTACTTATTTGGCTCTGTGAGGTTCAAAGGAGAACAGAACATTTTCTCCTAGGTAACTAGCAACTGTATATTTTTGGTTATAGGTTTCTTCCTAATGTGAAATATTTAGGTCCTTAATTTATCCTGCATTCATATGAGCCTGTTGCTACATGCATAGGAAGTAGTTCACCCTCAGTTTCCAAGAGTCCTCTTCTTTCTCCACTTTCCCCTCACCTGAGGCTTCTCTCAGACCTTCCAGATACTAGGCACTCTACCTTTGGTTTCTTTTCAATCTCCTTTCCCTGCCCAATGTGGCACATTGTCCACAGTAGATACTATAAAAACTGTTTTGTAGCTAGTTCAGAAATTTGAAACACTAAACAATACTTCTTTTAATTTTTCACAAAGAAAGAGAGAAAGAGGAAGGAAGGAAGGAAGAAAGGAAGGAAGGAAGGGAGGGAGGAAGGAAGGGAGGAAGGAAGGGAGGGAGGGAAGGGAAGGAAATTAGCCTGGTACCATGCACATTTCTTTAGAATAGAGGGAAAACCATCCCTGTGATTCAGGAGCATTCAGGAAGGATAACTGGGTAAGAGACCATAAAGTAAGGTCGATTAAAAGTCTTAACAAGAAAATGACACTGTGATTAGCCAAGTCCTTACTGCAAAAGAAAAAGTTGGTTGGTAAGTTTACCAGAATTCTGGAAATCCGTGAAGCAGCAGCATAAGTGGTTTGCCTCTTTCACCAGCAGCAACATAATGAAATCTTAACCCCGAATCCTGCAGTACAAAATAGAGGGCATGGAATTTTAGTGATATTTTGCCAAAAGTAGTGCATTTAGTATTTCCATTTCATTAAAGAAAAAGTTCACTTGCATTATTTTTAATATCAAGAAATAAAATAAATATTATTAAATTTCAAAAAGAAAAAAAACTCCATGATTTATTAATAGAGTAAATTAGATTTACTTTTGTTGACATTCCCTTTATAGTACCTTCCCTTCTTGTTCTACCTACAAGGTCAATTTATATGTTACAAGCTTCTGGAACAATGTCACAATTTGTGACTTTCATCTTACTGATGTGTCACATTTCATCTCATTCAAATTCCAAAGGACATGTAAATAATTCTGATCTGAATTTATATTCCTGCCATGTTTACCTCCTAGTCATGTACTTTTCTCAGCTTGCCCGTCAAGAGCTGTGCCATCAGTTATATAATTCACACCTCCTTTCCTTATTTTTAGTTCTCTCCTTCCCACATTATTATTTTGAGAGTTGCATGTACAGCTCCCCTTGCTTCCTGCTCCTCGTGTCATGTCAATGTATTTCTAACAGCAGAATTCTCTGAGTGCTCAAGACTTCTCTCTGCATGTGGGAGACAAGACTGCCCAAGGAAAATAAAAGGCATGGGAGTGAGACAAGAATACAGCAATCAAAAAGCAAACTGAAAAGAAGAAAATGGAGAAAAAAAGCAAGAAAGGAAAACAAAAATTCACAAAGAAGTGAAGAAAGAAACCAAGAACCAAAAGATGAGCACAGAGACAGAATTTTTTATCAGGTAACCCAAGCAAGAGGGTTTCCAGATGTGAAAAAAAATCTTACAAGGTCATTTAATTCAACCCCATCATTTTTACAGATTTGGAAACTAAAGTCCAAAGATATTAACATGGGTCATAAAGGTGGTTGGGAGCAGGGCTGTGACCAGAACCCCATTCTGTCCTACCTTACAGGACAATGTTCTTTCCACTCCTTGGTTCTGTCGCTGGGGAAACTCTTTAGGTAGCCAGATTAAGAGGAAAAGCATTATGAGGAATTCCAGATGACTCTTTTTCACTGCTTCTCCTCAGGTTGGACTAGGATAACAAATCTGACTTTGCCCTCAACTGCAGAATGCCTTTCTAGAAGTTCAATAACTTCTTTTATTGGTGATGAGTCTTGGCCACTTGATTGGACTTAGTGAACAAATAATTAATTGCACTTACTATGTACTAGGCACTGTTCTAAGTTTTTGTTTATTTGGGTTTGTCTGTTTGTTTTACAAATATCGATTCATTTCATTCTCATACCAACCCCAGGCTGAATAAGGGTAAGAAAAATGTGCCCTTGCTCTTTTGAACTCTAGCAGTTGGACCATCTAGCTCCTAATAGGAATCCTGCACTTTGGTGACATAAATATCCCCTCGTGTGAGGCCAGTTTTGAAAGGCCTGTGAGTCAGACTGCAGGGTGCATCCTGAAGGGTCATATCCCTTCACCACCTGGAGCCTCAGGAAATGGAATATCCATGGGCTGCCAGGAGGCTTGGGACAAGCATGAACAGTTCTAGTCTGAATGCATGGTTGACATTTACTTTTTATTCCATTCCTTTGGTCTCTGACTTCATAAGTCTGCTTCCTTGCTCACAAACATAACACCATTTATTTATTGTTTCATGCTGGTTAGGTCATCTCTGCATGCTCCATTCTGCTACTCTGAATAAAGTCCTATTTCCAATGACTTGTTCTATTTACTCTTCCAATCTCTAAAATTTAAGCAAGGACAGCCTCATGAGACAGTAGGGCATGACCAGGAACAATTCCCTACAGCTGATCTGAGCTCTAAAGGGCAAAAAGGTGACAGGAGACAGCCTTCCCTTAGAGAGAGCAGAATTATTCTGGGTTGTTGTGGTGGAGCAGGAGGGGGACAGTAATATATGTATAGGACCCTGATGAGAGAACCTCCTCATAACCTATTCTCTGTCTCTCTGTCTCTCTGTCTCTCTCTCTGTCTCTCTCTCTCTCTCACACACACACACACACACACACACACACACACACACACACACACACACGGTCTCGACCCCTCTCCCGCCACACCTCGCCCCCCCTTGCCTTGCCTCCCCCTGGCATCTTCCCTGTCCCCGCCGCGCGCTCTTTGCGAGCCCCAGGAACACTAGGGGACGCTGGGCGTCATGGAAGGAGCAGCCCAGCGCTCTCTGCCCTCACGGCCGTCACGTTCCCTCCCGATACCGCCGGGCCCACGCCGGCCTTCACCTTGATCCGCACGTAGCAGTGGGTACCCAAAGAGGGGTCGTTCAAACACGCGGGAGGGTGTTCCCGGGCGACCCTCCGGAAGGTCTGCGCGGGTCCCTTGCCGATGCTCCACAAAAGTTTGAGCAGGTAGACGGAGGCGCAGAGCCCGCAGTAGCAGTAGACCAGGGACCAGAAGAGCAGGGACCGGATCGTGACCGTCAGGCGGAGCAGGCAATCCCGCAGCCTCGCCATCGGGCGGGGCCGGCGGCGGGGCCCGCTGCCGTTCGGGGACGCGGGAGAAGCGGCGCTAGCTCCGGCTGCGGAGCGAGACAGCCAGCGCGGCGCCGCGCCAGGCCCGCCAGCCGGTCCGCGGGAGCCGGCTTCGCGCGCGCCTCCCCGCGGGCCCCCGGGGCAGATGCGCTCGGCTGGCGTCCGGTGGCCCAGCCGCGGGCGCCCGCACTCACGGTGCGCGCTCCGGGGCCGCTGCGCCCTGCCCGGGAGCGCCGCGGGGCAGACCCCCTGCGCTGCGGGTTCCGCCCCGGCCTGGGCGAGGCTGGGGACCGGCCTTCCTCCGCAGAGTGTGATCCCAGTTCTAAACCGCTCAACTGTGGGGAAGATGAAGGGGAGTCTTTCCCAAATCATCCTGGCGCAGAAGAAAGCGCCGCTCTTACTTTGACCAGTGTTCAAGTCCTCTCATTGCCCAGTCAACTGGTGCAATTTCATTAGGCCTTTTTCTGGATCATAGAATTATGGCGCGCGGGGAAGAGAGGCAGTGAACGACGGTTTTCATAGTATATGACGGCTATTATTACTTTATTCATTCCTAACATTCTTCTGACGGTGTTGATATCCTCCAACAAGGTTCAGAGTGGTATCAGCCCAGCCAGTTCAGAGTGGTTATCAGCCCAGCCAGGCCTCTCTGGTTCTAAAGGCAAGCCTCTGGAAAGCCCTGGTCTGTTTTCTATCCCTGTAAGTCTTTCCTTTGCAAGACTCTTATATAAATGGAATCATATAATATGTAACCTTTTATTTTTGGCTTCTTTTCATTTAGTGTAATGCATCTGAGATTCAGCTATGCTGTTACATATACTGTTTCTTCTTTATTGCGTGTTAGTTTTCATTGAACAAATGTGTCGTATTGTTTATCCATTTCCTAGTTAAAGGACGTTTGAGTTTTTTCCACTTTGTGATTATGAATAAAGCCACTATAAACACTCATGTGAAGTTTTTGTGTGAACATAAGTTTTCCTTTCACCTGGGTAAGTACTTATAAGTGGGATTGCTGGGTCAGGTGGTAAGTTGCATTTAACTTTATGAGAAACTGCCAAACTGGCTTCCAAAGTGGCTGTACAATTTCGAATACATACCAGCTATGTGTGAGAATTATGGTTGGGTTATAGTCTTGCAAGAACTTGGTATTGTCAAAAAAATCTTTTTAATTTTGGCAATTCTAAGGTGTGTATAGGGTACAAAGTAGGATTAACATTTATGTTTTGCATGTGTAGTATCTCATTGAGATTTTAATTTACATTTCCCTAGTGACTAATAATGTGTGGGCATCTTTATGTACTTGAATGCCATCAAATATATTCTTTGACAAAGTGTCTGTTAAAATCTTTTATACATTTTTAAAAATTGTGTTGTTTGTTTTCCTACTATTGAATTCAAGAGTTCTCTATATATTTTGGATACAAATCCTTTATCATACATCATGAGATTTGCAAACATTTTCCCAGACTGTGTCTTTTCATTCCTATAACAGAGACTTTTGAAGAGCAGAATTTCTTAATTAAAAAAAAATTATCTATCTATTTATTTATTTATTTATTCTTTTTAAGTAGGCTCCACACCTAATGTGGGGTTTGAACTCACAACCCCTAGATCAAGAGTCACATGCTCTATGCATTGAACCAGCCAGGTGCCCCCCGCCCCGAGTTTCTTAATTTTGATGCCATCTCATGTATCACTTTTATTTCTTTTATGGATGGTACTTTTGGCCTTTAATGTAAGAAATCTTTTCATAACTCAAGGTCAGCAGGATTTCTTTCCCTTATGTTTTCTTCTAGAAGTTTTATGTTTTTATTTTTTATATTTAGATCTGCGAACCATTTTTCTTCAACTTTCCCCAAGTTTTGTTTTATTATTTTTAAAATTTTAATTCCAGTATAGTTAACATACAGTTTTATATTAGTTTCAGGTATACAATAGAGTGATTCAACAATTCTATATATTACTCAGTGCTCATCAGGATAGGTGTACTCTTAATTCCCATCATCTATTTCACCCATCCCCCACCTACCTCCCCTCTGGTAACCATCAGTTTGTTCTCTATAGCTAAAAGTCTCTTTTTTTGGTGTGTCTCTTTTTTTATTTGTTCATTTGTTTTGTTTCTTAAATTCCACATGTGAGTGGAATCAGATGGTATCTGTCTTTCTCTAACTTATTTGCTTAGCATTATACCCCCTAGATCCATCCATGTTGTTGCAAATGGTAAGATTTCATTCTTTTTTATGGCTGAGTAATATTCCTGTGTGTGTGTGTGTGTGTGTGTGTGTGTGTGTGTGTGTGTGTGTGTGACATATTTATCCATTCATCTACAGATGGACATTTGGACTGTTTCCATAATTTGGCTATTATAAATAATGTTGCAATAAGCATAGGGGTACATATTTGAATTAGTGTTTTTGTATTCTTTGGGTAAATACCTGGTAAGTGCAATTACTGGATCATATGGTAATTCTATTTTTAATTTTTCAAGTTACCAAGTCTATGATCCATTTTGAGTTAATTTTTGTATAGGGTACAAAGTATGGATTAACATTTATGTTTTGCATGTGGATATATAATTGTTTTGGCACCATTTGTTGAAAAGAATATTCTTTCTCTGTTGAATTGCTTTTGCACCTTTGCTGAAAATCACTTGGACGTACAGGACTATTTCTAAGTCTTTAGTCTGTTTCATTGATCCATATGGCTATATTTTCTTCAATACCGCACTTGTCATGACTTTTGAAAGTAGTATAGTAGTCCTAGAATTCAGGTAGAATGAGTCCTTAGACTTTGTTCTTCTTTATAAAAATTGTTTTGCCTATTCTGCTTACTTACCTTTTCAAAAAAAATTTAGTATTAGTTTGTCATTTTAGGCAAAAATTAATCATTTTGGAGAAAACTGATATTTTAACAGTATTTTGCTCAATCCATGAACATGATATATCACTTCATTTATTTAGATCTTCTTTGATATCTTTCACTGCTTAAAACATACAAATATTGCATATATTTTGTAATATTTAGACCTAAGTATTTCTTTTTTATATATTATTGTTAATACTACTTTTTTCAATTTCCAGTTGCTTATTACTAGTATAAAGAAACATGATTTTGGGGGTTTTTTTGTCTTGGATTCTGAGACCTTGATAAACTCACTTACTAGTTCTAGTAGCTTTTTGAAAGAGTCTTTGGGATTTTTTATGGATAACTGTGTCATCTATGAATAGAGACAGTTTTATTTCTTCCTTCCTACATATTTGCCTTTTATTTCTTCTTCTCACCATATTGCACTGGCTAGGACCGCCAGTACAAGAAATAATGAATAGGAGTAGTGAGAATGGACATCTTTACCTTATTCCTGATCTTCAGGGGAAAACATTCATCTTTCACTATTAAACATAATATTAGCTAAAGATGCCATTTATCATGTTGAGGAAGTTCTTTTCTATTTCTAGTTTCTGAGAGTTTTTTTTCATAAATGGAGGTTGAATTTTGTCAAAGGGCATTTGCTTCTCTTGAGATAATCACAATTTTTCCTCTTTAATCTTTTAATATAGTTAATTACATACAAAATTTTTACATTTTGGGGGCACCTGGGTAGCTCATTCGTTAAGCATAGGCCTTTGGCTCACGTTATGATCCAGGGTCCTGGGATTGAGCACTGCATCGGGCTCCCTTGCTCAGTGGGAAGCCTGCTTCTCCCTCTCCCACTCCCCCTGCTTGTGTTCCCTCTCTCGCTGTGTCTCTCTCTGTCAAATAAATAAATAAAATCTTTTAAAAATTTTAAATTTTTTATTTAAATTCAATTTAATTAACCTATAGTGTATTATTAGTTTAGAGGTAGAATTTAGTGATTCATCAGTTGCATATAACATCCAGTACTCATTACATCAAGTGCCCTCCTTAATGCCCATCACCCAGTTACCCCATTCCCCCTACCAAACTCCCCTCCAGCAACCCTCAGTTTGTTTCCTATAGTTAAGAGTCTCTACATATAACATTTTTTGAATGTTGAACCAGACTTTCGTCCCCAGATTAAACCCTACTTGGTCATGAAGTACTATATTTTTTTTATATATTGCTGAAATCAACTTGTTAATATGTGGTTGATGATTTTTGCATCTATATTTCTTATTTTTTATATATTCTGGAAGAATTTATATAAAACTGATATTATTTCTTCTTTAAATGTTTGGTAGAATTCTCCAAAAAAGCCATCTAGGTCTCAAGTTGTTTTTTTAATTTTTTTTTTTAAGGTTTTAAAATGTAATTGAATCGGTGAGGCCTGGGTGGTTTAGCCAGTTAAGTGTCTGCCTTCGGCTCAGGTCATGATCCCAGGGTCCTGGGATTGAATCCCATGTCAGGCTCCTTGCTCAGCGGGGAGCCTGCTTCTCCCTCTGCCTGCCGCTCCCCCTGCTTGTGCGTGCTCTCTTTCTCTCTTTCTCTCTGACAAATACATAAATAAATAAAATCTTAAAATAAAATATAATGCAATCTATTTAAAAGTTATAGGACTATTCAGGTGATCTGCTTTTTCTTTGCCAGTTTGTGTCTCTTAAGAATTTTATGCATTTCACTTAAGTCATTGAATTTATGGCTTAATTTCCAAATATTTTGGACGATTTTGCAGACGATCTTTTTGTTGTTAATTTCTAGTTTAAATACGGTATGTTCCAAGAGTTTACCTTCAAAACTACCTGTTCTTTTAAATTTGTCAAGGTTTGCTTTATGTCTCTGAATATGGTCTATTTTGGTGAATGTTTCAACTGTATTTGAAAAGTTGTTACCTGGAGTGTAGCATAAATGTTAATTAGGTAAATTGGTTGGCAATGCTGTTCAGGACTATTAGGAACCTTACTGATTATCTGTCTACTTGTTCTATCAATTGCTGAGAGAAGAATGTTAAAATCTGTAATGATGGATTTCTTTCTTTTTCTTTCTTTCTTTCTTTCTTTCTTTCTTTCTTTCTTTCTTTCTTTCTTTCTTTCTTTCTTTCTTTTGGATCTATCAA